AAGAGCTACAACTTCCGGCTGGGTCCGGTGGCTCACGCCTGTAATCTCAGCACTTTGGGAGGCCGGGGCAGGTGGATCACGAGGTCAGGAGTTAGAGACCAGCCTGACCAACACGGTGAAACCCCGTCTCTGCTAAAAATACAAAAATCAGCCGGGTGTGGTGGCGCACACCTGTAATCCCAGCTACTCAGGAGGCTGAGGCAAGAAAATTGCTTGAATCCGGGAGGCGGAGGTTGCAGTGAGCCAAGATTGCGCCACTGCACTCCAGCCTGAGCAACAGAGCGAGACTCTGTCTCAAAAAAAAAAAAAAAAAAAGAAAAGAAAAGAAAAAAAGAAAGAGCTACAACGTCCTGGGCCACCAATCGCAAATGGCAGCCAGTCTCTGAAGTAACCCTTGACCAGAGATCCAAGGAAGCAAGAAATGTAGGTGATCTGAACAGAGGGGATGGTGGTTAAACACCATGAAGGCAAGACCCATTCTCAAAGAAAAGGAAGCAAAAAGAAACCGCAGGGAAGACCCATTCTCAAAGAAAAGGAAGCAAAAAGAAACCGCAGGGAGCTGGGTCCCACCAGCAGGCGTCACTGACGCCAGCCTGGCCTGGGAGAGAAGTGAGTGTGGCGGGCGATGAGTGGTGGGGAGGGCTGCAGTAAGTTTGGGGTAAGAAGAGGCAGCGCCCAGAGCCCAAAGAACACCAGTTAGGGTTCCACATGAACGCCACTCAAAGTACTCACAGAACACGTCTAAACACAAGCATGAAGGACTAAGTGCAAGGGACAAGAAAATATTCCCCGTTTCCTGTTTCAGGAGGGTATCAAAAACGAGTGATGAAAGGAAAATGTATTGTTTGAATGAGGGAAAAAACATTTTACAAATTAAGAACATCCTGGAACATGATGAGCCGTTTACTGTCACTCAATTTCAATGGCGGCCATCTAGGACAGAGCACCTGAGAGGAAAGGGGGCTCACAGGCAAACCCCTCCAGCTGCTGGTGGGCACATTTCCCGTTAGGGCATCAGGGTCTCTGAAGACTGTCTTCAGAAGCTTTTTAGCCAGAAAAGTTACAATGATGAATTTGTTTACATTGACAGACTTACTTCATATTTCTAAAATATAATGCTTTTTTCATTACGATAACTTTGGTGTTGTAGAGTTAGGCTTCAAAATAAAGAACTTTAAACAAACAAGAATAAAAAGCCACTTTAGGCTGGGCGCAGTGGCTCACGCCTGTAATCCCAGCATTTTGGGAGGCCGAGGCAGGTGGATCAAGAGGTCAGGAGTTCAAGACCAGCCTGACCAATATGGTGAAACCCTGTCTCTACTAAAAATACAAAAATTAGCTGGGCATGGTGGCAAATGCCTGTAATCTCAGCTACTCGGGAGGCTGAGGCAGGAGAATCGCTTGAACCTGGGCAGAGGTTACAGTGAGCCGAGATCATGCCACTGCATTCAAGCCTGGGTGACAGAATGAGACTCTGTCTTACCAAAAAAAAAAAAAAAAAAAAAAAGCCACTTTAAAATTTTACTTAGGCCAGGCACAGTGGCTCATGCCTGTAATCCTAGCACTTTGGGAGGCCGAGGCAAGCAGATCACCTGAGGTCAGGAGTTAGACCAGCCTGGCCAAGATGGTGAAATCTCATCTCTACTAAAAATGCAAAACTTAGCTGGGCATGGTGCTATGCCCACGTAATCCCAGCTACTCAGGAGGCTGAAGTGGGAGAACTGCTTGAACCTGTGAGGCAGAGGCTGCAGTGAGCCGAGATCGCACCACTACACTCCAGCCTGGGCGACAGAGCAAGACCTTGTCTCAAAAAAAAAATTTTTTTTTTAATTAAAAAATTTGGCCAGGCATGGTGGCTCACGCCTGTAATCCCATCACTTTGGAAGGCCAAGGCGGGGGGACCACCTGAGGTCAGGTGTTCGAGACCAACCTGGCCAACATGATGAAACCCCATCTCTGCTAAAAATACAAAAAAAAAAAAAATTGGCTGGGCATAGTGGCAGGTGCCTGTAGTCCCACCTACTTGGGAGGTTGAGGTAGGAGAATCTCTTGAACTCTGTAGGCAGATGTTGCAGCAAGCCAAGATTGCAGCACTGCACTCCAGCCTGGACAACAGAGCGAGACTCTGTCTCAAAAAAATAAATAAATAAATAAAAATTAAAATTAAAAAATAAAAATTTCACTTAAAATACTACTGATCTCAGGCCAGGCGCGGTGGCTCAAGCCTATAATCCCAGCACTTTGGGAGGCCGAGACGGGCGGATCACGAGGTCAGATCGAGACCATCCTGGCTAACGTGGTGAAACCCCGTCTCTACTAAAAAATACAAAAAACTAGCCAGGCGAGGTGCCGGGCGCCTGTAGTCCCAGCTACTCAGGAGGCTGAGGCAGGAGAATGGCGTGAACCCAGGAGGCGGAGCTTGCAGTAAGTCGAGATCCGGCCACTGCACTCCAGCCTGGGCAACAGAGCGAGACTCCGTCTCAAAAAAAAAAAAAAAAATACTACTGATCTCCCGTGCTGACTTCTTGGGGTTTAACTCTCACTGAGGAGATGTTACTTTCATAAGGGTGAGCTCAGCAGGGGCAACTGAAGTCACTTAAGCAGAAAGCTGCAAAAAGGCAACAGCCACACTACAGGCAGGGGTCCTCCTCACAGCTTTAGGGCTTTGCAGAGGATTACGCAATGTACATACATGCACAACACTGAATTCCAGTCTCTCCAATGATAACTGTATCAAAGGTTCAAAGCAATATGCACAAAAGTTACCTCACAGAAAACAGTGCAAGTCCTTGATACCATGCTATTTAGACACAGAAGTGCTACAGAGCATCTCGCCCCACTGCCTTCCCAAGGGCGAGCACCTCCTCCTTTCTCCACAGCTCCTTGTTTTTTTGAGATGGAGTCTCACTCTGTCACCCAGGATGGAGTGCAAAGGCGAAATCTTGGCTCACTGCAACTTCTGCCTCCCGGGTTGAACTGATTCTCCTGCCTCAGCCTCCCAAGTAGCTGGGACTACAGGCGCCTACCACGCCTGGCTAATTTTTGTATTTTTGGTAGAGACGGGGTTTCACCATTTTGGCCAGCTGCTCTAGAGCTCCTGACTTCCAGTGATCCTCCACCTTGACCTCCCATAGTGCTGGGATTACAGCTGTGAGCCACTGCACCTGGCCTCTCCACAGCCCCTTCTGTGTTGAAGCCAAGACCCACCCTTTGATCCCAAGGCTTGGGTTCCTCACTAGTGTGAAGTGAGTTTCCAAATTAATTATGAGGTAAATCAGATATGAGAAAATATTTTATTTATTTACTTTTTTTTGAGACGCAGTCTTGCTCTGTCACCCAGGCTGGAGGGCAGTGAGGTGATCTCCACTCACTGCAACCTCTGCCTCCTGGGTTCAAGCAATTCTCCTGCCTCAGCCTCCCAAGTAGCTGGGATTACAGGTGCGCCGCCACCACGCCCGGCTAATTTTGTATTTTTAGTAGAGACAGGGTTTCACCATGTTGGCCAGGGTGGTCTCGAACTCCTGACCTCGTGATCCGCCCACCTCGGCCTCCCAAAGTGGTGGGATTACGGGGGTAAGCCATCAGGCCTGGCCCAAGAAAATATTTTTAAACTAGTAATCTTGACACTGATGGAATTGAAACTGTTGTATTTGAAGTGTTAGCAAAGAAAAGAGAATTCTGGTTCAACAGAAAAGTCAGTCACGACTTCTCAGTCACGCATGAATTACACAGTAACCAAATACACAACACGTCATGTCTGACAACAGGGTCCACACCGCCATGGGTCTGCACAGACCCAGATCCCACCCGTGGGTCTACAGCGATGCGGGCCCCTGTGGGGTGGTTCCTGCGGGTTGGGTCCCTGAGAGTGGGTCGCAGTGGGGTGGTCCCTGTGGATCGCGTCCCTGCGGGTCGGGTGTCTGCGGGGTGGTCCCTCAGGGTGGGTCGCGTCCCTGCGGGTCGGGTGCCTGTGGGGTGGTCCCTGCGGGGCGGGTGCCTGTGGGGTGGAGAGTGGGTCGCGGGGTGGTCCCCACCGTGTCCCTGCGGGTCGGGTGTCTGCGGGTGGTCCTCAGGGTCAGTGTCCTGCGGGACGGGTGCCTGTGGGGTGAACGCGCGGGCAGCCTGGGGTGAAAGGCCAGGGGCGGGTGCTCAGGTGAAACTGGCCGGGTGCCTGTGGGGTGGTCCCTGCGGGGCGGGTGCCTGTGGGGTGGCCCCTGCGGGGCGGGTGCCTGTGGGGTGGTCCCTGCGGGGCGGGTGCCTGTGGGGTGGTCCCTGCGGGGCGGGTGCCTGTGGGGTGGCCCCTGCGGGTCGCGTCCCTGTGGGGTGGTCCCTGCGGGGCGGGTGCCTACGGGATGGCCCCTGTGGGGGTCGCGTCCCGGCGGGGCGGGTGCCTGCGGCGTGGTCCCCCCGGGTTGGGTCCACCCAGCAGGCCGCTGAAAGCCCAGCCCGCGCCCGCCCGCGGCGCCAAGATGGAGGCAGGAAGCGCCGCCGCCCGCGCCCGCCACCGCCCGCGCCGCCCGCCTGACGCCGCCGTCGCGCCTGACGCCGCCGCCCGCGCGGCCGCCCCTCCCCCGGCCCTCCCCTCCCCCCGCCGTAACGTCCTGACGCTCCGCAGGGACCCCTGACTGGACGGCGGCGCGTGAGCGGAGCGAGAGGCCTCGCCGCGGGGGGGCCGCGGGCGCGCCGGCGCCGCTTACCTGGGGCCGCGCCGGGCCTACTCGGGCGCCCGGCGGGGGCGGCGGCGTCGGGAGCTGCAGCGGCGGCGGGCGGCGGCGGCGGCCGCGGGCTTCGCTCCTTGTTGGGGATTCGGCGGCGGCGGCGGCGGCGGCGCGGGCGCGCGCTTCCTAGTGACGCAGGCAGCGGGGCCGCGCACGCACGGGGCTGGGAGGGCCGGACACTTATTTGGCGCTTGCCGGTGAGGAAGGCGGGGCCGTGAAATAAGGCACAACGGGGCCCGGGGCGCGTGCGCGGACCGACGCTGTCAGCTCCTATCGCCGTCGCTTCCTCCTGGTCCCCGCGGCCCCGGTTGGGTGTCGCCTGCCCCGCACGGGCGGTCGGGCCGAGGGACGATGGTCGGTGGACGGACGGCGTCAGGGAGAGGTGCGCACGAGCGGCAGGGCGGTACCTTCAGGCCTCCAGGTACGGGCACCCCTCGTCCGGACGCTGCTGTGGGTGAAGGGGCGCGGACGGGACTCCCCTGCGGGGCGGACGCCTGAACACGAGGCTGTGGAGGAAGACGCTGTAGGGTGCGCGGACTCCCGCGGAACATGCCCGGGGCTCGGCCAGCCACGGCGCTCCCAGCGTGGAGGGCGAGGGGCATCCAGGAGTGGCGGGGAGGGAGGGCTCGGTCACCCCTTAAGCTGTCACCCCAGTCCCACAACCAGCACGCCGATCCCATCGCAGTCCCACAGCCGGCACCCCGATCCCACCCCAGCCCAACAACTGGCACCCCGATCTCATAGCTGACACCCCGGTCCCACCGCTGTCCCACGGCCGGCACCCCGATCCCATAGCTGACACCCAGGTCCCGCCCCAGTCCCGCAGCCGGCACCCCGATCCCGTAGCTGACACACCGATCCCTCCCCAGTCCCGCAGCCGACACCCACCCCTATCCCATAGCTGACACCCCGGTCCCACCGCTGTCCCACGGCCGGCACCCCGATCCCATAGCTGACACCCCGGTCCCGCCCCCGTCCCGTAGCCGGTACCCCGATCCCACCCGAGTCCCGCAGCCGGCACCCCAATCCCAGCCGGATCCCGCAGCCAGCGTGGATCCTGTGGCGCTCGTCTAGCCCCCAGGGCTCGTTTATACGTTTTATTGGCAGAGGCTGGGGCTGGCTCTATTGGCCTCTGTGCTGGATTTCTTCCCCTGCACCGCAGGGCTGGCTCTCCTGACCTCTCCAGTGTCATCCAGCACCCTTGTGCTTGCTGTCACCTGCTGCCTGTCTGCAGGATCATGGATTCCCTATCAGGGGACCGAAATTAGTCAGAAAATAGGAAGCAGATACTTGTTTGGGATGGAGCCCTGACCCTGTGCTCACACTTTAGGAGGAGGGCTCTGCAGGCCGCCTCCCCGAATGGGAGGTTCCCAAGCCACTGCACTTCGGAGGGGCTGTAATTGGAGTTGCACTTTCATTCTGTTCCCAGTAAAGTGGACCGTGCTCAAGCCAGTGAGGAAAAGGTATTCTTAACAATTAGATTGGCCGAGCGCAGTGGCTCATGCCTTTTATCTCAACACTTTGGGAGGCCAAGGCGGGAGGATCACCTGTGGCCAGGAGTTCAAGACCAGCCTGGGCAACAGAGTGAGCCTGTCTCTGGGGAAGAATAAAAAATTATTGAGCCTTTGTCAATGCTACTATTTTATTATCTGGTAAATATGAGAGGGTTCACGCGGTCTGTGTGTGTCATTTATCTGAGTTTGCCTATCCTCACATTTTGGGAATAAACGTCAATAAAGTCTAAGAGGAGTGCTGAGGGGGGCCTGGGGATGGGAGGGCGGCCACCTCACGCCTGTGTGTTGCCTGGGTTGAGCCCTGGGGCCTGTTCTGCCTCTTTCACTCTGGGACTCCAAGAGAGAACCTGGGCAACAAGAGAGAAACTCCACCTAAAAACAAAACAAAACAAAAAGAAAAACAAAAAACACCTCCAAGATCACTTAGCTTTCTACTGCTGCCATAACAAATTATCTCAAACTTAGTCACTTAAAAATGCAAATTTAGGCTGAGTGCGGAGGCTCACGCCTGTATTCCTAGCACTTTGGGGCGGCCAAGGCAGGAGGATTGCTTGAGGCCAGGAGTTCAAGACCAACATGGCCACAACCCATCTCTAGTTTTTAAAAATGCAAGTGTGTCCGAGCGTGGTGACTCACGCCTATAATCCCAGCACTTTGGGAGGCCAAGGCAGGTAGATCACAAGGTCAGGAGATTGAGACCATCCTGGCTAACACGGTGAAACCCCATCTCTACTGAAAGTACAAAAACAAAATTACGCAGGCGTGGTGGCGGGCACCTGTAGTCCCAGCTACTACTTGGGAGGCTGAGGCGGGAGAATGGCGTGAACCCAGGAAGCGGAGCTTGCAGGGAGCCAACATGGTGCCACTGCACTCCAACCTGGGTGACAGAGCGAGACTCCGTCTCAAAAAAAATAAATATAGAAAAATACAAATGTATTCTCTAACTGTTCTGTAGGTCGGAAGTCCTGCCCAGTCTCACTTGGTCAAAATCAGGGTGTCGGCCGGGCGCGGTGGCTCAAGTCTGTAATCCCAGCACTTTGGGAGGCCGAGATGGGTGGATCACGAGATCAGGAGATCGAGACCATCCTGGCTAACACGGTGAAACCCCGTCTCTACTAAGAAATACAAAAAACTAGCCGGGCGAGGTGGCGGGCGCCTGTAGTCCCAGCTACTCGGGAGGCTGAGGCCGGAGAATGGCGTGAACCCGGGAGGCGGAGCTTGCAGTGAGCCGAGATCCGGCCACCGCACTCCAGCCTGGGCGACAGAGCGAGACTCCGTCTCAAAAAAAAAAAAAAAAATCAGGGTGTCTGCAGGGCCGATTGTTTTTGGAGCTCCAGGGGAGAAGCTGTTCCTGCCTTTCCAGTTTCTGGAAGCACTTGAGCCCCTTGTCTCGTGGCCTATCCCACACCTGAAAGCCAGCCAAAGTCAGTTGAGTCCTCACCCTGCTGGTCCCGACACTGACTGTCCCGCCTCCCTCATCTGCTGTCAAGGCTCCTTGTGATGGCATGGGGCCACCAGCTGGCCCAGGGCACCTCCTGTCTCCGAGTCGGCCGACCAGCGACCTTCATTCCGTCTGCTGCTGTAATGCCTCTTTGCTTGGAACCAACGTTCACAGATCCCAGGGGTTAGGATGTGAATATCTTGGGCGGGGCTGTGAGGAGGGGGGCTATTCTTCGTTCTAAAATATTTATTAGTTTTGTTTTGGGGGCTTTTTTGGTTTTGTTTTTTTTGAGAGAGTCTCACTCTGTTGCCCAGGTTGGAGTGCAATGGCGCAGTCTCGGCTCACTGCAACCTCTGCCTCCTGGCAGACGTGAGCCACTGCACCCAGCCCGTTTTTGTTTTTGTTGTTGTTTTGTTTTTGAGATGAAGTCTCACTTTGTCACCCAGGCTGGAGTGCAGTGGCAGATCTCAGCTCACTGCAACCTCTGCCTCCCGAGTTCAAGCGATTCTCCTACCTCAGCCTCCCAACTAGCTGGGATTACAGGTGCACGCACCACCATGCCCAGCTAATTTTTGTATTTTTAGTAGAGATGGGGTTTTACCATGTTGGTCAGACTGGTCTCAAACTCCTGATCTCAGGTAATCCACCCGCCTTGGCCTCCCAAAGTGCTGGGATTACAGACATGAGCCATCGCATCTAGCCATATTTATTAACTACAAAGGGAAAGATGATAATTTTTTGTTTTTTTTGAGATGGAGTCTCACTCTGTCACCCAGGCTGGAGTGCAATGGCATCATCTTGTCTCACTGCAACCTCCGCCTCCCGGATTCAAGTGATTGTCCTGCCTCAGCCTCTCAACTAGCTAGGGTTACAGGCACACGCTACCACACCCAGCTAATTTTTGTATTTTTAGTAGAAATGGGGTTTCACCATGTTGGTCAGGCTGGTCTCCAACCCCTGACCTCATGATCTGCCCGCCTCGGCCTCCCAAAGTGCTGGGATTATAGGCATGAGCCACTGCACCTGGCTGAAAGGTGATGATTTTAAAGTAGAGAAACTGGGTTGGCTGGGCATGGTGGCTCATGCCCAGCACTTTGGAGCATGCACTTTGGAGCCCAGCATTTTGGAAGGCCAAGGCAAGAGGACTGCTTGAGTCTAGGAGTTTGAGACCAGCCTGGACAACATAGCAAGACCTCATCTTCACAAAAACTAAAAAGTTAGCCAGGTGTGGTGGTGCACGCCTGTAGTCCCAGCTACTCAGGAGGCTTAGGTGGGAGGATCACTCGAGCCCAGGAGGTCAAGGCTGCAGTGAGCCGTTATCGTGCCACTGCACTCAGCCTGGGCAACAGAGCGAGAGTCTGTCTCCAAAGGAAAAAGAAGGTACAGGCACGGTGGCTCACACCTGTAATCCCGGCACTTTGGGAGGCCGAGGTGGGCGGATCACGAGGTCAGGAGATGGAGACCATCCTGGCTAACATGGTGAAACTCCATCTCTACTAAAAATACAAAAAAATGTGGTGGCGGCGCCTGTCGTCCCGGCTACTCAGGAGGCTGAGGCAGGAAAATGGCGTGAACCCGGGAGGAGGAGCTTGCAGTGAGCCAAGATTGCGCCACTGCACTCCAGCCTGGGCGACAGAGCGAGACTCCGTCTCAAACAACAACAACAACAAAAACAATAGTCTCCCAGGTAAGTCAGAGTCACAAGGTGTTTTGGTTCCCCGTGGAAACTAAATGATAACAACTTAGGCCGGGCACGGTGGCTCAAGCCTGTAATCCCAGCACTTTGGGAGGCCGAGACGGGCAGATCACGAGGTCAGGAGATCAAGACCATCCTGGCTAACACGGTAAAACCCCGTCTCTACTAAAAAAATACAAAAAACTGGCTGGGCGAGGTGGCGGGCGCCTGTAGTCCCAGCTACTCAGGAGGCTGAGGCAGGAGAATGGCGTAAACCCGGGAGGCGGAGCTTGCGGTGAGCTGAGATCCGGCCACTACACTCCACCCTGGGCGACAGAGCGAGACTCCGTCTCGAAAAAAAAAAAAAGATAACAGCTTAACATATGTTCTTGAGTTATTTTTCAGACACTCGGATACCTACCAGATGGAAAATGCTGAGCTGGGAACAGGGGCTATGACTTCAGCCTTTTGAGAGGCTGAGGTGGAAGGATCACTTGAGGCCAGGAGTTTGAGACCAGCCTGGCCAACATGATGAAACCCCGTCTCCAGTAAAAATACAAAAATTAGGCGAGCATGGTGGTGCAGCCTGAAATCCCAGCTATTTGGGAGGCCGAGGTGGGAGGACCACTTGAACCTGGTAGGAAGAGGCTGCACTGAGCTGAAATTGTGCCATGGCACTCTAGCCTGGGCAACAGAGTGAGACTCTGTCTCAAAAAGTAAATAAATAAAAAGATAAAATAAATGTTGACTGCCGGCCGGGCACAGTGGTTCACGCCTGTAATCCCAGCACTTTGGAGGCTGAGATGGGCGGATCACCTGAGGTCAGGAGTGCAAGAACAGCCTGGCCGACATGGTGAAATGCCGTCTCTACTAAAAATACAAAAATTAGCTAGGCGTATACCTGTAGTCCTGGCTACTCAGGAAGTCAAGGCAGGAGAATCGCATGAACCAGGGAGGTGGAGGTTGCAGTGAGCTGAGATCACGCCACCACACTCCATCCAGCCTGGGTGTCAGAATGAGACTCCATCTCAAAGCAAAAACAAACAGATGGGACCCTCGGTGTGTCCTTAGGGCATGATGGTTGAGGTATACTGCTGGTCCTCTCGTGAAAGAAAACAAGAGCTGACTCTGTGCCTACTGGAGAAAGCACTCCCTACATCAACCACAGTCAAAACCTCGCTACCCCAGGGACGGTGGCTGCCAGCGTGGGGCCTTGGTAGCACCCATGTGGTGGAATCACAATGTTGATAGCTCTGGGGTCTTGTACAAATGCCAGATCCTCCCATTTGGTTTCCTTATGGGAAGAATCGCAGTATTATAATACACAGGCGTGTGCAAGGGATCATTATACCCTTTTCTCTTTTTTTGCTTTCTTTGAGACAGTTTCACTTTCGTCACCCAGGCTGGAGTGCAATAGCGTGATCTCGGCTCACTGCAACCTCCGCCTCCTGGGTTCAAGTGATTTTCGTGTCTCGGCCTTCTGAGTAGCTGGGATTACAGGTGCCCGCTACCAGGCCTGACTAATTTTTGTGTTTTTGGTAGAGACAGGGTTTCCCCAAGTTGGTCAGGCTGGTCTTGAACTCCTGGCCTCAGGTGACTCACCCACCTCAGCCTCCCAAAGTGTTGGGATTTCAGGCATAAGCCACCAGGCCCGGCCTTCCTTTCTTTTTAAAATTAATCTTTGTTAAAAAATACTCTTGGCCAGGCTCAGTGGCTCAAGCCTGTAATCCCAACACTTTGGGAGGCTGAGACCGGTAGATCATGAGGTCAGGAGATCAAGACCATCCTGGCTAAACATGGTGAAACCCTGACTCTACTAAAAAATACAGGAAAAAAAAAAAAAAAAAAAAAAACTAGCTAGGCGAGTAGCTGTAGTCCCAGCTACTCGGGAGGCTGAGGCAGGAGAATGGTGTAAACCCAGGAGGCGGAGCTTGCAGTGAGCTGAGATCCAGCCACTGCACTCCAGCCCGGCCAACAGAGCGAGACTCCATCTCAAAAAAACAAACAAAAAACTCTTATTTTTTATTTAATTATAACAC